AGTTTTGAGAATCACCACCATTGGTGGGCGGCATATCAACGACATTACAGTCAAATTAATTACATGCTGTGTACAGGAACAGAGCAAAGAAAATCTGGAGTACAAAAAGCCATAAATTCAAAAAGCCATTTAAAAGCCACTTTTAAATGGCTTTTTGGAGGAAACATAAAGATTTGTATGTTTTTTGGATGGAGATTTGTATGTTCTTTTGGCCAGTCAGACCACAAGGCAGGACTTTGGGCCTGAGGCCTCCCACCCGAGGAACAGGTACGGGTGCAGAGGTGGCCTGGGTCTTCCTTCCTTGCAGTAAAAAACAGAGAAATGAGGAGTAAAAACCTGTGAGTTTGAGCCAGGGGTTGAAATTCAGTGGTTAAAAAGCTGCTTCCTGAGCTGGAAATTTTTGAAATTTTAAATCAAGTGGCTAATGGGATTCTTTTTTAAAACACTCAAACACACTTTTTGGCTCTTGCTTGCACGTTTAAACATTCTTACTGTTACCTGCAGCTCCATGATTCATCATTTGCATCATTAAAGCATGCACACTACAAATGGCCGCACTGGCACGGTGCTGGTTGCTGCATTTGCATTGGGAGACAGCCAGCTACATTTAATACCTACTGCACAACAAATATATTTACCCTGCCATCCTCATAGTTTGACTCTGTGCTTGCATTCTGTCCCTCAGAAGGAAGCGGGGCCACATATCCTCAGGTTTGTGTGCACCCACTGACTCCAAAGCGAGATGAGAACGGGCTGGTGTTGCATTGACCTGTAACGCCTTGTCAAATCAGGCCACTTTAACTGTCCATGACACCACATCTAGTCTCTCTCTCTCTCTCTCTCTCTCTCACACACACAGAGAGAGAGAGAGAGATCCTCTGTCAGTGTGATTAGCACTCTTTGACTTTTAATCAGTTTAATTAGGCAGCTGAAAAGGCCAGTCTGTGGTTTGCTGGTCAGATGAACGAGCAGGACCGGGCACCCTTTCTCTGCTCATTAAAAGCAGCCCTGATGGATTCAGTTTTTAAACCTGCAGCGATAACGGTTCATGACTCCAGCGTGATGGTTCAATCTCTGCAGTCGGTCCTGGTCACCAGATGCAGCCACACATAATGAGGACAGAAGATGCAGATCCTGCATTGTCTGATGACAGAATTATTTCTTTTCCTGGCAGGATGCCCTCAGAGTCCCCGCCGCCTGTTACAGGCACCCTGTGGAGTTTCCTCTTAAACCAGTCAGTAAAAGCAGATCTTTGTCTGCAGCAGCAAGTCACACAACACTGTTCTTGTCGCCGTGATTGCTGTATTATGAATGGATTTTTTTTTATTAGCTTAAAACATTTTTGTGTCTTGTTTCTACACAGACTTCATCTATCAGTTTTCTTTCTTTTCAGGAAAGAATTTAGAGCCTATGCAAAGAGCTGATGTTAACATTTAGACCTGTGCTGCTGTGTTAATGGTAGGACTTCTTTGAGCAGTCTTGTAGGAATGGATCAGTCAGTGATGAATAGTAACATGTTCTAGCTTTATGGAGGACTTTGTTATAAAGCAAAAAACCATTTCGTCTCCAGCTTATGAGTTAACTCCATTAGGCTGCGTGTGTGAGAGTTATACCAGGGAGTCTACTACTTCTGTTTGGAGGCTCTATTTTTCACAGGAACTCATTATAGGAGTTTCATATCAGTGAACAAGCATGGTGGTTAGCACTATTCCCTCACAGCAAGAAGGTCCTGGGTTCCAATCTCCGCATGGCTGCGTGGGTTCTCTCCAGGTACTTCGACTTCCTAATGGTGCTTCCCCATTCAGTGTTAAGCCCCAAAGAGGTTTCTGAGCTTCTTCAGGGTCCATGCGCCTTTTATCAGGGTTAAATTCAAGCACTTTTTAAGCACTTTCAAGGTCCCTTTTCAAGCTTTTCCAGCACCCCCCCCCCCGCCAAAAAAAGAAAGAAAAAGAAAGCATGTTTCAATTCGCATCACCTCAGTAAGACCATGTGAAAAGAGTACTGCAAAAGGGCACGGTTGCCTTATATACATAGTATATAAACTCAAAGTGCACATTTCACTTCAAAATTAAGATGTGAAAATGTGAACAAATCAACTTGATATTCTTCTCCTGTTGAAAAATAAAAAATGAATAAATAAGTCTTCTCATCAGATATTGATGTTTCTTTCCTGTGTGACAAAAAATAGGCGACAGATATTTGTTTGTTTGTTTTTTAAGTTAATTCCCAATAAAACTGTTCTACTGCTAAGTACATTTCTGTCTGTATTACTGCTGAAGTCCTAAATGATCACCTTTAAAGTGTTTGTGCTAATAACATCATGTACAGTCAGACAGGCATGGAGAACAGCACTGACTGGGAGAGGCTTAAACAGATCACATAGTTCAATTCAACATATAAGACTTTAAGAATGCACAAGCATCTACTTAAAATCTATTGAATTTATCATCTGTGATATTATTATGTACAATTTCAATGTATTTTGTATATCTGCCTTAAATAAACAAGCACCCTTAAAGTATGAAATATTCATATACAAACACATATAAACGTGTGTACTGTCTCAGTGGCTGATAGTGCCCCACAGGCCTCAGTGTGAGCTTGAAGACATTTATGAGTTTTAAGTAGTTTAATGTGTAGGTGCTGACGATAAACACATTTTGAATGAAAGTCGGGGAACTTTGGTAGCACAGAAACAAGTGGCTATTCTTTGTGACCATATGGATCGGTCCCTCATATTACCATTATTTCACCCAAAGGCACCAAGTTAATACTTAAAAAAGCTGCAGCAATACACAAAAATATAAACAGTACTTGGTGACAACTTTGCTTTTAGCCTTTAACCCTCTGGGGTCCAGGGTGTAATTGGCTGTTTTTGACTACTTTTGATTTGGCCTCTATATTTCACCTTTAAAAACTGTTTATCTTGCCAATCTGTTATTTACTCATTTTGACATAATGTGTCAGCACAATTTATCCAAATTCAGACATAATTTAAAATATGAGTAGAAAGTGATATTTTTGACTGTAAAAACCACAAGCATGTTTAAGGAATCTTTTTCATAACTTGAAATGCAAATACAAATTGTACATTTTTTTAAAATATGCACAAGTTTTGCAAACAAAGTTATATGGTACTATTTACCTAAAAATGCAGCCAAGGCTCAGACGTTTTTTATATAACCATTTAAAACTATTTACAGAACAATCAGGTGTTCTGCATCAAATAAGAAGGCACACAAATTATTTATGCAGCTCCACGTTGACACAGACGCAAGGTAGTCCAGGCGGGGGAATTTTGCTTTTACATTTTGTGACTCATTTTATTTCTCTATCTGATAAGAAAACTATTCAATCAGATAGTTATTTGTTCTGAATGAAATACAGTTACATTTTCAAGCACTTTTAAGCACCATATCTGAAATTCAAGCACTTTTCAAACCTTGAAAAGACAACATTAAAATTCAAGCATTTTCAAGGATTTCAAGCACCCGTACGAACCCTGCTTCTTCTTTAAAAATGAAATGCCCAAAATTAATTGAGTATTTTTCTGCAATTGCAAACCCTGTGTATACAATCTTGGTATCAACCAATCATTCATCAGAGTTGTAAATATTGCAGCAGATATTACTGTGTCAAAGTTACTGAGACTGGAACACAGAAAAAGTAAGTAGATTTTTTCCTTGCCTAATTTATTTATTTATTTTTTAGCATTTAACCCTGTTAAAAATATGCTTCAGTTCACATTTTATTCCAGAAATTCAGTAACCAGACTATAAACATCTGTGCAAAGATTTATGTTTCTAAAGTGAAACAGTGAAAAATTACAGCACTGTCAATACATAAATACCCAGACGTTGTACAAAGAAAGTCAAATTTGACACCATGTCAGTTGAATTTTTTAGGTATTAAAGAGCAGAAATTACTTAATTTTATTAACAGGCCTAAAAATGCTTGTTTTGAATATTTTTGAAGAATTAACCACACATTTACATGGCAATGGGCCTTTTCTGCCATGGGCATTTTCTGCCATGGGCATTAGTGATGTGTCGGTCGCGAACGAAATGGCTCTTAGAGTCTTTGACGTGAACAACCTAAAGAGCCGGTTGGGAGCCGAAAGAGCCGGCTCTTTTTAGTGAGCCAAGCCGAAAGAGCCAGTTCTCTAAAAAGAGCTGGAAATCCCATCACTAATGGGCATGGATTGTTTAATTGACCTTTGTCCCTTTAAACTCTGAGGGGCTGTAACTTTGGTTTCTTTGGCCAATTTCCATGTTTGGCACCTCTTTTCAATAGTTTGAGCCAATAGAATCACAGTAACAATGCCACGTTCACATCACTTCAACCAACCAGTTGCAAGGAGGTTGTTGACGGAAGTGGCTCTGATGCGGCTAGTTAGCTGTGGTAGCTGGTGATAATCATGAGCCTATCGGCTAATGGCGAAAATAACGGAGGAAATCGGGATTGTAAGCCAATTTCTGTCTTAGCGCATTTGCGCCACTGTGCGTTTTTGTGGATCTGTCAGTGAATTTTGGTCAGAGTGTGGTGAAACTTGCTGTTTGGAATCGGTGATAGCTCTGAAGGCTAAATAGCCTTTCTTTAGCCGGTTACATGAAGTCTGAAGAATTTCTGGTTCAGTTTTGTTTTTTTAGCTTTCTTTTTTGTAACTGCTCTTTTACTCATGGCTTGTTTTTGTTGTGTTTGGTGGTTGTAGAAATGGTTTATATGAGATTTTAGCTGGGTTTCAGTGGTTTCTGTGGATACCATAAATGTCGGGACTCACATTTCTGACCCCATGTTATAACCAATTAAACGTGATCTTCTCCCTTTTAAGCTAACCACGCGTTGATGCAGTGCAGTCCCATGCACAGGGCGATCCGCGCTAACTCACTAACGGAGATTTGCCGCATTAATGCAGTTAAGCCATTAATGTCATTTTAACAAGAGTAACACTGACAGCACTAAATATAATATATTTAGTTCTAGCAGTTCTAGAGGCCGACTTGCGGACGGCTGCGGCGGCGACACAGACGAAGCAAATCCAGAGGCGGACCACGCGGAAGACAGTGGCGGCATGGAAACAGTTCAGGAGGCCAGCCGTGTAGAAGACAGCGGCGATCCGCTCAGCGGAGGTCCAGTCAGCGGCCTGGAAAGTGGCCACCGACGCTGAACTGGATGTGGGCGAGGTCGAGCAGGCTGAGCCAGACATGGACAAGGTGGCAGCATGGCCACCGCAGGACTAGGTGAGGCAGGACCAGAAGCAGGAGGTGGCTGAGTGGACTGAAAACAGGGGGAAAAGAATCACGTGAGTGATTATGACTTGCGTCTCTCATGCAGTAGTTTATTGCAGTGAGGAGAACGCGCGAAAGCCCCCTAGTGGAGAATAGAGACACTACTAATCGATCCCAGAAAAGGCTTACTAGCCGATCACTGATGTATAGATTGTAGTTCTCTTAAGTAACATGAAAGCCATTAATATAACATGAAAAATAATAAACTCTTAACCATTTTCTTACCATATTTACATTATTTTCGTCCTTATATCAACTGATATGAATTTGTATTAACTGAACAGTTTTATATGCAGTAGTCCTTCAACCTGTCACACTGTCAGCAGACACAAATTGTGGAAGCGGCTCCTCGGACCCCTTAGCGATAGCAGACGGCTGGAGCGGTTCCTCGGACCCCTCAGTAAAAACAGGAGACTGAACTACTGATGGAGCTGGTAAAACAGTTAATGATGAAACTATCTCCTGAGCTGAATACTGAACAGCTAATAGCTGAGCAGCACGCTGCGCTAATGGCTGAGCTTCTGGCCGAGCTACAGGCTAAGGGAGTGAATGAATGGAACACAGGAAGGAACACAGGAAGGAACGTGGGGAGACAACACAGACGAACCAGCAACAAGCAGAAGAGAACACAGGGCTTAAATATTCACAGGAGCAATGAGGGAATGGGACACAGGAGAGGAACATAGCTGGGAGAAATCAGAGAAATCAGACGCAAAGCAGAATACACTAACATAAGACACAGACCTTCAAAGTAAAATAAGAAGTACACAGAGACAGCCTGGAGGGGGAAAGAGAACAGGAGGAGCACATGACGGGATGAGAAAACACAGAACACAAGAAGTGGGAACACGGCACCAGAACTAACACCATAATATAAACACAGACACACAGAGGGAGACACAGAGGGCAACTACATGAGGGAAGCATATTAAATACTCAGGGAACTAAACAGAATACAGGAAACCTAAACTAGAACGCTATACACTATGGAATAAACTAAGATGAACAAAGAGAATCTTTAACATGAATCACAATACAAAAAATATACAAACTCTCAAAACCCTGAGAGTTTGGTGTACAGTTCTGTGTAGTTCTGTGGATTTCCTAGTGTCTCCATCCATCCATCCATCTTCATCCGCTTTATCCGGGGCCGGGTCGCGGGGGCAGCAGCCTAAGCAAAGAGTGTTTCCTAGTGTCTCTACTGAATAATGCTACTTTAAGTGCTCGATGATTTGGTGGACTTCCCCTATGTGGTTATATTGTCACGGGCCCGGGTCTGAAGGACCCAGGGTTTTTGAATAAGTATGGACATGTGTATTTTCGGTGCTGCTGTCCTTTGTTTCCATGTGTTTGTGTATAGGTGGGTGTGTGTGGGCGTGACAGAGCACCGGTTCTTCAGGCCTGGTTGGTGTGTCAGCCAGGAGCCTGGCCACACCTGCGGAGGAGAATCACACACACCTGGAGCTGATCAAGCCTCGTCGGGGAGCTATTTAACAGTTTGGCTGAGCTCTCCTCAACACTGTGAGACTCCACATTAGTGTCAGCTCAGAGTTAAGTCAGTTAGTGCATGCTTGCGAGTGTGTGTGTCCTTACGGCTGCATCTGTTGTTTCCCCCAGGAGGAGAGTGGAGCACGGGAGGGCAGTGAGCACGGGGAGTGCGGGGACATGGGAGCGGAGAGCACTAAAGTTTTCGACTTTTGGGAGAAGACGTAGCACGGGAGTCAGGGGTGCACACGGGGATTTATTGTTGTCAACAGGTGCTTCGTGTCACATGCTGTCCATTCGCACAGCAATCTGTGTGTGTGTGTGTTTGTGTGTGTGTGTGTGTGTGCGACAAAGGAAAACAGTGTTATTGACACTCGCTCCATCACTATAAAAAACCAAACCACAGCCCTTCTTGCTGTTGAGTCAGTAACACACAGAGTCAGGTCAGAGATGGTTATATGAGTGTGTGTGAGCTAAAACATGCAGCAGAAGGGTTTCATGAGGCAAATTAAACAGCAGTCAGCAGCAGGTCAGACAACCTGGGAGGTCAGAGAGCTAAAGAGGACTTCTCCTGTGAGTGTTCAGGTTCATTGTTTCAGTTTTAAAGCTGCATGGGTGTGTTGTTGGAGCAGTCTGTGAAAATTCAGTGCAAAGATGCGTCTCAAAGGCACACTTTAGAGGCGTTTAGTTTTTATGTCTTCTGACAGGGTCTGTGGGAAACATGCTGCACCTCAGAGGATTTTATGTTGTCACATGCTAGAAACTATCAGTAGTGCTGACTTGCCACATCATTATGGCCTAAATATTCTATCATTATTGTCAAAGTCCTCTGTATAGGGCTGTACTTCGCAGGATGTACACAAGTATGTATCTGTGGCCATTTTCAGGAGAGTCAGCAGTGTTACTGTACATATAGACTCCTGAGTTTCCCCTTTAACAGAGCCAGACCTGGTAAAACTCAGGAGCTGTCCCTGTTCTGGCTGAAACCGGAACCAGTGTTTAGGAAACTGCAAAAACTGCAGTTTCTCTTTCTTTCATTTAAGACTCCAACAGCAAATCAGTGCCTCTAGATTCTCATCCTAAAATGTTGAACTTTACAGCATTACAAAGCATGTTTATGTCTGGCTACAGGAAACAGGTTTGACCTCTGTTAACAGAGGTCAAACCTGTTTCCTGCTTTGTAATGCTGTAATGCTGTTCCCTGTACATCACAAACCTGTGTACTCTTTGTCCCAGGCCTGGATAAATGTGAAGGGTTGCACCAGGAAGGCCATCCGGTGTCAAACTTCGATCGAATCAAACATAAAAATGATATGTAATGAGATTTCCACAATGGTGAGGGTCCAAAGACCCCTTCAGAGGTGTTTTTGAAAAAATAATAAATGGATTGGTTCTTACATACTAGACAAACACTCAGTGTGCTTTCCATCTCATATTCACACTGTGATGAATGCACTGGGAGAAGCTCAGGGTTCAGTATCTAGCCCAAGATACCTTTGGCATGCAAACTGGAACAGGAAGGAATTGAACCACCAACCTCCTGGTTAGTAGATGCCCTGCTCTACCTATATGAGGTAGGCAACACACATTTGCATCTCATTTTAAGTTTCAATATGGACCAGGTTGGGTTGTTAAATTGACAAATTAAAATGATTTAACCCTTTAAGACCTACTATAGAACCATGTCCGCCAGAGCTTATCTTTATATTTTTACATGCTGTAGAGGCATTTTTGGAGTATTTCAAGTTGCTATACATCAATACAACCATTATATCCCAAATTTTTTATAATATGTATGCAATGAGTCCATAGTAAATACATAAATTGGAAAAAAAGTACAATAAACTGAAAAAAAAAATTTGTTTTGTTGTTTTACACATATTTTACCCATATCCATCCATCCTTTCCATGGTTATTTTGAGTGTCTTCATAGTTTTATTTTTGAGATACACCAATTTTTATATACTGCAGGAAAAACAGAAATAAATATTATCATGCAAATTTGCAGAACAACAGCATCTGCATCAAAATAAACTATTTCCAACAGTGTAATTTGAGTTCTAAGCATCCCAGAAACTATACAGAAAGGCATAAACACATGACTTTTAAAAACACCAGCATATCTTTGTAAATACCCTATAGGAAAAAACTACATTTTCCGCAAAAATGACGCCACTTCCGGTTTCGGGCAGGTAGTGGCGGACATCAGATAGATCGTGCTGACATTTATTCCAGTGTAGGAAGTGTTATAAACAGCTGAATGGATCAGCAAAGCATGTTTCTGGAATATTATGTTTTTGTTGCTGCAAGTGCTTTTTTATGCAATTTTAGCAAAGCCATATGTGGAAGGAAACTGTGACCCAGGACAAACTGAATACATAAGATGTGCAATTCCTCTGCTTTCATATGCAAAAAAAATTATTGCGCCAGCTTATGTGGTTGCAATTCTACCGGGCTTTAAAAATATTTACGCAAAACGGAGCGTGCCCTCTCCGACCGGCCATAAAGAGTTAATATATTTTATGTGAAGATAACTTGATGGGGTAGCACTGAGCACTGATGCCTCAAAGCAAGAAGGTCCTGGGTTAGAATCCATTGCCCAGCTGGAGCCTTTGTGTCTGGAGTATGCATGTGTGGGTTCTGTACAGGAACTCCAGCTTCCCAACGTCCAAAGACATGCAAGCTCGGTCTACGGCGATTCTAAATTGGCCGTGACAGTGAACAACTCTCTCTCTCTCCCTGTGTTAGCCCTACAACTGATGACCTGCACAGGTGATCAGGTCAACCTGAGACAGGGTGAACTGTGACAGTTGAGGTAGGCTCCAGCCCCCTGTGACGAATAATGTAATATCATAAAAAGCTTCTAAACACCTCCTCAATGGACCTTTTGCTACCATTTAGACTTGACGAGTCTTTGATTCTGTTCAGGTTTATGTGACTTTGTTTACATTTTGTTTGGGTTTCAACCATCTGTTTTCTATTAGATGCAGACAATGCAAAAGGACATGGAACGTATTTCTGCTTACAATTTAAAAGGCTGTAAAATCACAGACGAGCACAGAAACATGCTCCTGCATGTACCCGTGAACACCAAATGGCACAGGTTTTGAACCCACTCATGCAGACTCATGCCAGACTTGACATGCCCTGTTTAGCTGTGATAGCAGTTGACCAGCAGAGGAAGAAGCAGACAGCGGGGCTGATGAAGAAGAGGCGGATGTCACACAGTGGATAAATGTTTAAAGCAAGAAGAGGCAGAAATGTACAAATTATCACTCGGTGTCATTGATGGACGTGGAGCCATATGCCCCACTCGTGGCTCTTTCAGCATTGTGACATCTTGCCGATGTGACAGCTGGTTATGGATATTGTGGCTTGCAAATACAAGTCATTTGAAATAATTTGGGGACCATGTAAATTCTTCATTCAGCAG